TTTTCTTCCCCTCTTCTCTGCCTATAAAGATAGTTTTCTTTTGTTTTTTTTGGGTTGTTGAAGAAAAGTTTGCAAGAGAGGGAAGTAGAAATTTTTGGCTGTGGGAGAATTTTAGGAGGAGATTCCTGTGAGAGCACATATTTGAGGTAGCTTCTTGTTTTGCGGTGCTTTACTTTGACATTAAGGAGGTACCCCTTCTTCCCCCCTCTTCTTCGGTGCCCTGTTTTCTTTCGTTTTTCCTCTCTCTTTCAGTTTTCCTCTCTGCCGAGCCTTTGAGCTTGGCTCTGTTGGATGATACAGCATGCTAGTTCATTTTACTTTGATATATTGTTGAGATGCACTTCAGGTGCATAAAAAAAAAATGGAAATGTGGGCATGTCCTAAGAGACTTGCTTAAACTAGGGAGCCTATGTCATCTTTATGATTATTGTGGCATGTTTATGTTAGAAATATTTAGGGAGTTAATACATGACTTTGGAGTAATTTTTTGCTTCTCTTGCAAGTATGTTGGGATGAGTATTATGAAACTTTTCACTGAAATGTTGGAGAGGTTATTTGGCTTTTCATGAATGCTAGAGAGTTTATTTCACTGTTTTATGCATGTTTGGTGCTGAGTTTATTTCACTATTTTATGCATGTTTGGTGCTCGGTTTTGGCTTCCTGTGGCTTTCCTGACCTGAAATATATGCTATGAGAAAATTTATTTAACTTGGAAAGTGTTGTAGCTTGTTTTGAGAGCTTGGTTTAGCTCATCGTGAAATTCCACCCCTGTTCAAATATCTGTTGAAATTGTTGTATGCTTGGAATATTTAGACATGCAGGTTGTTTCTTAACTTTGGATGGCTCAGTTTTACCTACAGACGGTTGAAACTTTAATTTCTATTAAAGTATGAATTTATACCAATGCTTGGGCCTGTTTTAATCTTGTTGAGCTCGGTTTTGGCTTCTAGTTCTTGTTGAGCTCGGTTTGGCTTGGTTTGGAAGCTTAATTTTGGTTTGAAATGACTAGAACTTTAATTTTTATGAAAGCCTGAAGTTTCATATTGCTGGGCTTGGTTTTAATCTTGTTGGGCTCGGTTTTGGCTTTTGGTTCCTGTTGGGCTTGGTTTTGGCTTGATTTTAAGTCACGGTTCTGGGTTTGAAACAGTTGAATCTTTATTGCTTTATGAGAGTCTGGATTTTCATATTGTTAGGCACGGTTTTGGGCCTTGAATGGCTACTCGGTTTTGGGCTTTTGCTGGTGCTCGATTTTTCATTTCAGGAGTATGGGATGTTGACTTTTGTGGAGACTTGAGTCTTGAATTTTATTGAGATGTTAAAGCTCTTTTCCTAGCTTTAAGAGCTCTTGTGTTTGGCCTCTGCTGGACTTGGTTTGGCTTTAAAGTGGGGGATGTGTTTGCTTGTTTTAGTCCTGCTGGACTCGGTTTGGCTCTAAAGTGGGGGCTGGGGTTTCGTTGTTTTGGCTCGGTTTGGCTCTAGTTGGGGGGCTTGGTTTGCTTTGTTTGGCCCTTACCCGAGGGATGGTTTGGAGGTGGTTTTGCTGGCTTTGGTTCCTACCCCTACCCGTGAGACTCATTGGAATTTCTTGAGTTTAATTTATCCCCTCTTGTTGAGTTTGCATCATTTGGATGATTGTAGATGGATCAAACTCGTTACTTTGAGAGATTGGTGATGTTTTGTACTCTCCTATGTATATCAAAACTTGTAGGGAATTGATCCGGGTTTGCCTTAGTCGTGAGCCTCACTTGCTGTTTCTTGGGTTTGCCTCAGTTGTGAGCCTCCCCTTTTGGTCCTCACCCGCGAGGCCTATTAGAGGTCATTGAGTGTGATTTGGTCCTCCTTACTAGGCTTAATTGGCTTGAGTGTTGTGGATGAATCAAGTTTGCCATCCCAAAAATTATAATCACTTTGGTTATCCTCTTAGGTTTGTCAGGGAGGCATAGTAGTCATTGGTGGTTCCTTTTGGTCACTTTGGGTTGTGAGCCTTAGTGATTACCTCCCTTCTGGGTTGCTTTGGCCGAGAGCCCTAACTGTTGTTTCCTCTATTCGATTGACCCCGGCCATGAGTAGTTATTCGGTTCTGTGGGAAGGTTTCGTGCTTATTTAATTTATGATGCTATTTATTAATTTGAAGGTTGGGGGAATTTTGATTTTGGTATGAGTTGGGAAATATCGGTGGAGGTCACTTTCTTTTGAAGTTTGGGAGATTTCAAACTTCGCTTGGAAAATCATTTAGTGGACTTGATCAATCCTATGTCTTTGGGGTTTGGGAAAATTAGCGCGAGCTTGCCCTTTATGTTTGTTGAGAAAGAACTTGGGCCCTACTTTTCCAGGTCTTTTCGATACGAGTTTTGAGAACTGATCCAATCTTCTTTTCGGTGTTTTAGATGGATCGGTGCCTCCTCTCTCTCACCCCATTTTTGTTCTTTTCTTTCCCTGCTTCTTGGTTCGGTTTTCGATGCTTATGCCCGATGCATAAGTGTCCACGTATAGCTTTTTGCTATACGTGAAATCATCAAACAAGGTCGCAAGTAGTCGTTTTGGGGCGTACGGTGTTGATGATAAAGACACACCGAAGATAGAGCAGAAAAATGCTCTATCCTATAACATCAAGATCCAGACATTTGATGAACAATAGGATATGGTATCCTTCGTCGACATAAGTCTAACGGGAGTTGGCTCGAACCTTCTCAGGTGATTGACAGTCCCATGCCCGAGAGTGTAATCGACTCGTGGACAACAAAAATTTCTAAAAAAATATATATAAGTTTTGATAAACCTTTTTTAAGCGAGAACATACTTTTCTACGAAACAGAATTGATAACTCTTCTTTGCATGTTTAAAATTTGTATGCATGTTAAAAAACATAAAACATACTTTAAAGCTGGTTGTCCACCTGACGAATACCTGTTTAGGCTAGGAAATAGCCCTCTAAGTGAGGTT